AAGTTTGGTCACCTTGTGGCCAAGGAGGATCTTCTCCTCTGGGACTTGGCGTTGAAGAGCCGTGATCAGCGCTCCAGTGCCTGGGGACTTCTCGACGTGGCGAGAAGCGGTTGAGCTCTAGACTCTAGATGTGCGCTGCGCACACATAAGCAGCGGAAAAAAAAAGAGGAAAACAAAAAAAACTCCCACCAGCGATTCCGTGGAAGTGCACAGACCCCTGAAAGACGACTTTCCTCTTGGTTAGTTGGCCTTTTTGCACAAACCCATGTTAGTTGGTGGGTAGGAATAGCTCCACTTTGAGGCAAGTGTCTAAGCCTCAAGGAGCCAGCCATTGGCCCAGAGGTAGGTTGATGAGTTGAAAGACAGCTTGGAGCTTTGTTTATCATAACACACTTGGAAAAGGTAGGTAGGAACAAAAAGGCTTTGACAGTCCCCGCTTCTCTTGCTCCCCAAATCAACCACAGGCTACCAGACATATTGTCAGTGGCTTGCAGGGTTGTCCAACAGAGTCTTTGAAAAATGCGGAACCCTGAACATCCCAAACCAATGAGTATTGAACCATTGTTTCCAACTCCGGAGACAAATCCGCATCAACGCCTGCATCTCACCAAGAGGCCATTATCAAGGCGATAGCTGACAGAATCTGACGGGTTCGAGACCTGGCGCACCTCAGGTGCACCCCTGCCTTTGGATGGTAAATTAAGGTAAACATCTTTGGGGTTCCCTATACAGGCCAAACCTTTCAGGCGCCAATGCTGGACCCCAACAAGTTCTCTGCCTTCGCTTGAAACACCAAGGGGTGTCCCCCATTTTTAGACCCATCAAACACGATTTGTTCGCATGCGCAGCGCATCTGGGTACTCTTTTGATTGGGAGAAAGCATGCCCTACACGTTCCCTTGCCTGACCAACTCCATCAGCCGCATTGAGAAGACTAGACAGAGTGACACAAACAAACATCTCTGCTGAAGCATTGCAGGACTCAAGCAACATGCTGGCCACTGGCAGATAGGGCCAAGTTTTGGATGTGCACTCCCTCCGTTCTCATTCATGAGGGGATGGAGGGCCAAGCAACCATTGCTTGCATGATTGAACCAGGCAGTGCCCAGTAAAACAAACTTTTTTGTGGGTCAACCCGCAAGGAGAACCCCCGCTCAGTGATTTTGCTTGCCATCGTCGCCGCCACAAGTTCCATGCGCTCAGGCCCGAAAGGGTGGCGTCTCAGGGGCTAGAAAGGATCCTGGACATGTCTCTCTCGCCCCAAGTGGGTCTCTGGGTCCTTCACAAAGGACTGTCGGGAGCAGCATCTGAGTCTTCGAGGAGAGGTAAGATGGAAAGCCCAAAAGTTTCGCCTGGGGTATGGGATAATGATATGAGGGAGCACTTCGGCGGATTGTCACAACTCAACCCAAATAAAGGATCTCCAAGAAAGAACTCTTCATACCTGAGGTCGCAACTTGCCAGAGGCGCATGGGAAGCTGCTTAGCTACGGCCAATTCAATGAGCCCAGCTAATCCATCGCCAAGGCACGGAGCCGCGCTGCTCCCACATTGTCGCACCCTCCTAGCAAAGAGTTCCACTCGCAACCCAAACACCACAAGGTGATCACCTTTTGCACTCATGACCCCATGGCTATAGATCAAGACTGGAGAACCGAACTGCCAAAGGTCCTTTTTCGCTTTTGGGAAGGTGGAAGGCAGACACTGGACAACTGCAAATCTGTGCCTTTTGTCATGCTCAAGGCGGAGGGCCCACATGCATGCACACACGCACACGCACAGACAGACGCGCTTGTGCCCGTGGCTCCTCGAACTGCTTGAAGAAAGGAATCCCAAGCTCCTCCGCAAGGTCGAAGACTTCACGGTGGTGCGGCCAAAACCATGCTGGTCCCAAGTCCTGAGGGCGCACATGCTACCTAAATAAGCGTTTCCTAAAATAGGGCCCTCTGACATTGTTGCTTTAAATACAAACCCAAAGTAGGGCATGGTTGCTCCGCAAAGCGCTGAAATGGACCGAAGAACCTCAGTCAGTACCAAGCTGATGCCTATACAGTCACTGCGATCTAATGTGGGACGCAGGCCCCGTGCCGTGACCCAAACAAGGTCCAATTTTTAGCATCACCAAGTCTCTGGATGAGAATCACGCCTAAAAGTGCATTCATGTCTTCATCAAAACGGGCAACACATATGTCCGTGCCCTTGCTACAACGGCACCTGACTCTTTCTCACACACAAACACACACCTCACCGATGGTGGGTGCACTTCTCTGCGACTGGTCCTTCAGACATGAGTGTGTTGGGTACGCAAACGCTGACCATCAGCGAGCCTTTCTCGCGGCGCCTATGTCGATCTCCAATCACGGTAGATGCTGGCAAAGCTGGCCTTGACTGCAAGACCCCACTGCTGAAATAGCAGTGCTTGCTCTGGTGTGGTTGTCCTGTGTGTGTGTGTGTCTTGGGGCTCCTATCACCCAGGTGGAGATGGACACTGCATGGGGTTTAGGAGTGACCCCAGTTTTCCCTTTGAAGCAACCTAAAGACACCCATGTACCTATCGAACCCTGCACCGAGTGTCATAGTGGCCTCGCTCATCCTCCAGAGTGAAGATGCGGCCACCAAGACCTGAGCACATTGCAGGTATGGAGCCTTCATCCTTTGAGCAGCAAGGCTCCCAGGAACTATATACCCACTGCAAGGAAAGAAGGAAGATTTGGCCAATGAGGTTGTGAGTACTCTTTGGGCTTGTTTGCAAGAGTTGAACCGGCTTCCTTATGATCCAACATGATCCAACCATCGAATCGGGTAGTAGAGCCCTTGATTCAATCTGCCTTCACCTGAGTTTTTGGGGTGGTGCCTGTTGACTATGACTTTGACAGGCTCAGATTGGACCACTCCTGCAAGGACCTGTGCTTGGAACTGGCCGCACTCGCTGCTGCACTCTCGGAGACTCTGTCCAAAAAGATCAAACGAATCCCCAGGACAGGCTAGGCGCTGCTCGGTCTGCGGTTGTGAAACCAACTTGTCCAACCTGCCCCAGGGCCACGCTTCATCATGCCACGCTCTAGAATCCTTGGCACTACAGCTGGCCGCCCGTTTCATGTATGGCTCACTTTGCTTTTGACCCGCTTTGCAGGCGCTGTCTTTGCAGTCAGCGGGGTGTCGTCGAATCGGCGCGTGCGACGCCACCTCCCCCGTCCCACCCCAGCTTCCGCGCAGCCAGGTGGCGAGGGCGCGCCTCAAGCAGCACCACGTCCAAACCCAGGCGGCAGAGGCCGCGCATCGCCACCAGGCCGCTGAGCCCGCCCCCCACGATGACCACGTCGTGCGCGCGCGCCATGGCGAGAAAGGAAAGCTGACACAACTCCTCTGGACATCTGGCCCTGACCTAAAAGTACGTCGACGCATGAACGGGAAACCAGAAGGTTAACAGGACGGCTCTGACCAAGTGAGAAGAATGCCAAGGCTGTTGCCGAAGAGTCTCAGACCACAGTGGAGAGGGCTTTGGACTGCATGCCACGCCACCGCTGTATCCGTTTCCCTGACTGCTCACAAACACATCCATGGTTCTCATCTGAAAACTTGGGTCTAACAAGGGCAACGCGGTTGACGGCTTCCTTGCGGTCGCCCTAAAAGCAGACATGTCCTTCCCTTTTGATGGCCTTCCCTTATTTCCAAAGGGTGTCCTTCGTGTAGAGCCAAGCCGGCAGGTCTTCACCGAGATAGGCAAACCAGCCAAAGGGAACCGGCCGGTTTGAACCCGTGGAGAAGGAATCTCCCCCAACAAGGGACTTGCATGGGCACCAGTTTCGAAAAATGATCCAGCCTCGTGTAGCTTCCTGTGTCGAAATCAAACAACTTATTGATTTAGCACCCAGCTAGCAAATGGGGGGGGGGCGGCGGCCCTCGTGTAGCTTGCTTTATCGAAATCAAACAACTTCTCGATTTGGAACCTAGCTAACAAATGTAGGGGGGGGTCCTTTTGAAAACTATCCAACAAGCCGATCCGCAACTTTAGGGTAACGTCCACTTTGGAGTAATAAACTCCCATCAATAATGGTCATGCTTTCATGAAAGGACGAATCATTAAACCGCTTGATTGAACCACAAATCCCAATAACAACTGTAGAACTCTAGGCAAATGTACGATAAATCAACCAAACAATATCCATCCCGAACAAATCCAACCAAAATGGCAAATGCAACACCGGAGGCTCAAGACTACATTTTGCGAGAAATAGTCCACTCCCAAACTCAAACGTATCTACCTAGCTAGTTGCGTATAAACCCCAGCTCTCATCAATCCCACAAAAGCGGGGGCTACTTGAGAGTGGCAAACGACATTCAGTAATTAGGAGGCCCACCTCAATCATGATTTGTTGCACCCCCCCCAAGAAAACAAAAAAGAAAAACAAGTGGAAACTCAAATCGAGCAATACTAAATCAAATCAAAACTTATACCCAGCAATGCTAAATCATATGGAAACGCAACTCTAGCAGTACTAAACCAAATGGAACTCAGATCCTCTCAGCAGGAAGCTCCAACAAAACAAAACCAAACGACAACTCAAAGTTTGCTACCGAAATCAGAACCAAATGATTTGGTAGGTAACGCTTTATTGTACAACTAGGATAAGCAAGATTTGCTTGCACTGCATATAGCATCGGAGTCCTGAACTATGTGAGTTCTGCGTTTGGCTTCTAGAACACAGCAGGCCTTTTTCAAGAAAACTACCATTTTCGTGGTCCAACTCCCTATTTCGACACACATGGATGTGTGTGTGTTTTTTTTACACGGGACCCTCTTGACATCATTTGGGGACCCTATGTCCATTAGTGGGAACCCCAGATGAAACAACCCCCTGGCCCTGGTTGATTTTGGTCGGGGCGTGTCCCTTTTTAGTCACCTCACTTTTGGAGGGAACACCCCCTATAAAACGGCTTCTACTTAGATCCGGGGTCAGACCTCCGCCCACTCCGCGTCGCGCTCTACCGAGGTAAAGGCAGAAACTGGAGCGCCACAAAGGAGCCCACGACGCTCACGAAGCGGTCCTCCGAGAAACACGGTGGAACCCATGGCGTCGTCTTTTGTTTGTTTTTCGGCCGTTCTAACAAGAGGATCTGAAATGGGGGGCACTTGGGGCCTGTGGCAGTGTCTTTATGAGTATCTATATTTGGCTCGGAGTACTGGGATTCAAGTAACGGCAATGAGCCCCGGATGGGTCAGGTTCCCCAGAATATGAAATTTGGGCAGTTCCCCCTTTATCCTCAAACTGTTAATAAAGGTTCTAGACCAATGTAAAGGTTCCTAAGACAACCGTGACACATGAGCAACTCACAAAATCACTGGTAGTTGTGTTGCTTGATTGTTTTTTTGTCATATTGAGTTTGCAGGCCATCACACCATCCCCAAGTAAAGGGGCGTCAAATGACCATGGCCAGGGGATTCCGGCTGAGCCTGCGATCAAGCCATAGGAATTGGCTGCCATGATAAAATATATATGCCTGATACAAGGGCACAATTCTAGGGGTACCTTTCCCATTCTTTCCAGGGATCCTTCTTTCTAGAAAACCTGCGGAAACCCAGGGAACACGGGCGGTTTTTGGAAAGAACGATGGTTGAAAAGAATGAAGAATCAACCCCTAGAACAATATCATATACTGATTGTTGTTCCCTGATTTGGCTCCATACCTTTGATGAGACAGGGTTCCCAATATGTCCTCGACAAAAACATGACCCCGACCAAGGGCAGCAAACCTATGAGCCAAATTCGTGATGCTTACAACCACCAAGGTAAAGTGAAACCTCCACAGTGCGCAGCTTCCCTCTGGTGTCCGTTTCTTTCCAACCCTTGGCATGGTAGCAAAACAACCTGGAGCCTACTAAGAATGAACAAAACCAGAAAATATAAAGACCAAAAAATGTGGCACGATGAAGCAACTTGAAACCAAAGGGGTGATCCCCAAAAAGAAGTCCACGCCCATATGTGCCGCGGTCAAGACAATCCTTATACGGTGAATTGGGTCATGGTTCCCTCAGGAATCATTGTGGCTCTGGTCAGGTTCCTCATGACGTGGATGACAATCCCAACGTTAACCCCAAGTAAAGGAACCGGCGATTTGACCATCCGTGGCGTCTGGCACCCCATGCAGAGCTGCATTCTGTTCAGAGCGTACCACACAGGGAAAAAGGTTCAAGGTTCAGGGATTTAGTTTGGGATTGTGGTGTTGGTTTAGGGCTTAGGCTTGAGGTTCAAGGTTTAGGTCTTGCCGTCCGCGCAGGACCCAGGAAAGCTGGCCGCGCAAACTTTGGAATCCACTTGCCAGGTGGCTACTGTGAGGTACTTGGCCCTCACGAGGCTGAGGATGCTGTGCAAGGTCTCGCCGTAGGGGTCGTTGCAGCCTCGCGGCTCGCGGGCCAATTCTCGACTCAAAACTTTGGGACTTTTTTTTTTGGGGGGGGAGGGAGGGGGGGGGGGTTGGATATAGAAAACCAAACGGAACGGGAAAACCCATCGTGTTGGGGGAGTCCCTCGAAGAAAACAAAAAAAGAGACACTCCCACATGGGAACAAGCGGGTTTTCCAACGAAGCTCCAGAGTCGGTCCCACAAGGTTTGGGGGGATTGGGCCGCGTTTTCCGGAGGGTTTCCATGTGAGGTTCCAGAAGCTGTCCTGACTCCATGCGGATAGGGTTCAGGAGACTTCCGCAAGGCCGTTTGCATGGACTGGTTGGGTTCTAGCGTGGCATGGGGTTCCAGAAGGTTCTATGAAGCAACTGCTGGGTTTCGGAGTGTCTGTCTTTGCCGCTGGCAGAGGGATTTTTTGGGTGTTCGAAGCGATTTTTGGAGGGTGATGGAACGGGTTTGGTTCTTGGGGCTGTTCAAAGGGAAACAAAGCCGAAGCAAAGGGAAACCCAAGGGGCACCAGGCAAATGTTTCAGGACTCCAATTGGAGACAAGCCCAAACTTGGACAAGTCAACCTCGCACAGCCCCACAATACTTATCAAGATGTACAAGTTAAGCAGGCGAAACTCGGCAAAAGGAGGGGCCCCCTTTGTGCAAGGGCTTTTAGTGAAAATCCGTTCAGCGGGACCCAGCCATTTGGGGGAAAAGAGAGGACACCCTGACTTGCAAGCCTATGCTCAACTCAGTTGCCCAAAGGACCCAGAAATCAAAGATTAAATATTGAAATTTGGGGGGCCATGACAAAAGGTCAAAAGGTCGGCTTTGGGCAAGCAAGACTGCAGCAAGTCAGGAATGGGCAAAACAAAAGTTTCGCAAACTGCAATCCCCAAAAGGTTGTGTCCCTTTCTTTGGGGCACCGCCCCAAAAAGAGTTTCCTCTTGGTTCCTTTGAAGCCACCAAACAGAGTGGTGGGTCGCCTCAAGCGAAGACAGACCCAAATCCCCAAACTGGAAATACCGAATGCAACCAAGGACGAGGCCTGGGCTCGCCGTGATCTTGTTGGGGATTTCATGGGTCGGAAAAACAAGAGAGGCCCCTACCCCGACTTCTGGCTCTCTTACAACACTTTCAAACAGAAAACTTTGAAGGTCTCAAAGCATATGCTCTTGTGGATGGGTTCCCAAAATGCGCCCAACCTCGTCTGTCTGCCTTTAGGACTTTTAGGCGTTGTCCCGCCGAAATGGCGGTTGGCCTTTTTGTCTTCCTTCAAACCAACAGGGGGTTCCCCTGAAAAGGACCCATGTTCATTTGAGTCATAATCAAAACCCGGTATTAAAATGGTCTGCCCAGAACCACGTAAAGCATGAAGGCGGCGGCCGCAGCCATGTATGGTTGGGATTGTCTAACCTTCAACTACCCGGGCTGTGGGGCTCATTTGGGTGGGCAGTGATGTCCAGCTCACACTTTTGAGGGGGCTCCCCGTTTAAACTCGTGCCCGTGGGTTCTCCTGAAAAGGACTCACGTTCATTCGGAGGTGCCTAAAGCCCCGGCCCAGGTCCCGGCCTAGGTAGCAGTTGGACCAGCCAGCAAAGGTGGTCGACTCCCGCTTCCCATTCCCATACCTCACTTCCGAAAAAAAAAAAAGAACAAAAAAAAACTCACGTCCGAACGAGTGGCCAAAAGAAGTCCTGGATCTTGTTGTTTGCCACTACAAAACTCTTCTCAAAAAGTTGAATTCCGGGGAGTGACTACAAGTGCACAGGATTGTCCTTGCCTCAGTGCGGACGCCCTTTAGAACTCGTTGAAGGGGGGCCATCCAAACTGGAGCTGTGCCTGGAGAACCATGGTTGTGGTCATAGAGCTCTGTGGACAAAAGCGAATTCCCATCCCCATTTCAAGAGCGGTCTTGTGATGTGAATGCCACAGTGCATCCCCGCCCCCTCCCCCCAAGATGGTGAGCAAATCCCTACTGACAAAAGAAATCTCTGGCTTGGCACTGCACGAAACAACGAAGCAATGCCCTCACTCACGTCATCAGCGATGCCCCGTCCTTTGGTGGACATTGGAATGCGGTGGGGATTCATGTCCACCAACAATGTTCCAGGGGGCTCCTTATTGAAATTCACAGCCATGATTTCGGAATGCTACCTCAACAGCACAGGTGTCCTTTTTGGGGAAAAAAGGCCCCAAATGATTGAACCACTAGGTAAACCTGCAACCAAACCAACCAAAAAGGACGACCCCACCACACTAAACAGGGTACCCCCAAAAAAAAAAACACCCAGGCCCACGCCTAACAGGCGTTCCCATTCTTAAACTTCCTACCGCAGGTCCGAGGCGCCCCAAGGGCCGGAAGGGACGCTCTTTCTGGGCGGCGCGGCGGCCCATGCGGGGCTGCGGGGCCGGCCCTGGAACGAGGCATCCGCCTCAGCGACGGCAACGCAGGGCTGGAACCGAAGGCGAGAAGGAGGGGGGTGGGGATGGGCCAGGGGTGGGCCAAAATGGGCACTAAATGGGATGCGTCTCTTTAAACCAACCCAAGGGGGAAGGAACTTGGAAATCTCGCAAGGGGGAGGCCTGGCCGTAACGTTGCGAAAGTGGATCCTTCATTTTCGTGGGCTGAGAAAGAGAACAAACAAAGAGAGGGAGACAAGGGGAAAGACCTGCTTGGACCCCCACCCCGCCCCCGGCTCTGCCGGCCTCTAGTGGTACTATGTGTTGAGTCTTCTCAAGGAGGCTCGGACTTCATCTCTCATCAAATTAGAAGGAAGGCACCGCGATAGGAATGAAGCTCGTCACTGGCCGTGTTTTTCTAGAGTGGGTTCAAACTCGGCACCTGACTGCTGGTGATTCTGTGAAAACCGAAGCCTGAAACGGCCACTGCCCCAACACAATCCTGGAGTTGTTCAGCTGTTGCCTTCCCAAAAAAAAACACGGACCGTAGTGATCAAGGGTGGTTCCCTTTGTGAAGGTCCTTGAGTTCGTTCACATTTTAGGGAGGGGTCCGATCGGGCTTTCAAGGTGGCAAGGTGAGGCAGTCCCCGAGGTCCAAAGGCGCATTCAGTGCGATGTCTGGTTTTCAGGGTCTCCCTTCTCTCCCTTTCTCTCCCACCCCCCTTCCCACAGCCCTTCCCACCAACCTTCCCACAGCCCTTCCCACCAACCTCCCACCAACCTCCCACCAACCTCCCACCAACCTCCCACCAACCTCCCACCAACCTCCCCCCACCCCCTCCAACTTCGACCTACTGGGGCATGTCGATCAAAGAAAGGAACCACGTTACAGTCACACAGCCATCCCAAATCTTGGATCGAGCCAGCTACCATGGAAACTGCCCATGGTGCTTGAAGCCTTGTTGAAATCCCCAAATGACGAATAAGGAGCTAGAGAATTACTAACAGTTTACTCCTACAATGATGTCAACAAAATGGTTTTAACTATACTTCTCCACAATCCCCTTTTCATAATCATTCAGGCCCTTGAGGTACTGCGGTGAGTTGAATCCACTTGAGTATATTCCTTGCAACTCCTCCCGAAAATCCCAGACCGTGCCAAACGGAGAGGCCAATGCTTTGAGTGGGTGTAATTTACATGTAAAATTAGCTTGCTCCATGATGGGAATAAGCAAATTTAAGGGCTCTTTAAAATGATGTTTGGCAATGCCCTGACTATTAAAGTCCAACACATCACGCAAAAAAAGAAGCAGAGGGAAACTCACAAGTTTAATCCCAGGCTTGGGCTTGGAAGTGGTTAGCCATAAATGATGGGAATCGAGCTGGAACCACAATCAAGCCAGGCCAAACACATATGGAAATATATCTAAACTATGCCGATGCCGGAGACTATGATTGGTTTATGCAAATCTATGTTGAGCGCTTGTACCCCACGGCCTAGAGGCCATCGGCCTCCCAGTGCCTTGCCTCTGCCCACTGCAAGTGAAGACACCAGGTCTCTGTGGTGCAACCGCACTCCTATAGTGTGCAATTACAAGGAATCCAACAAGGAATGTAGAGGCGCTTTGCTAGCAGCATATGCCAGGAGAAAGCTCTTGCCTGAGAGAGATGTGTCAGGATGACTAAATCTCAAAACAACCGAGGAAAACCAGCAAAAATACATCCCGCAGCCAAAACACATTGGGCATGACCAAAACAGTTCCCTCAGGACTTTGTCCTTTTTGGGTTTGCTGTTGCTTTTGCAACCGGGCCTTGCAGGCAACTATTTTTGGTTTGCAAATGAGAGGCTACAGGTATGCTCAACAACACGCACATAAGGAATTGTGTATCTTAGTTCTCCTCACAGATTGGCTTAGTATTGTGTGATGCTTTTTCTAGACTAAACCACGCTCGGGGAAATCCCAAAAAAACTCACACCACTCAGAGCATTGGTTTCTGGCCAAACGCTGCGACTCAACCAAAAGCCATCGCGAACGCCGCGATTTTCGGCTCTGCTGGTGGCAATGTGCAGTCTGATTGAAGGCCAAACGCGAGGTGGGATTGAGCGGCCAATGTCCCAAGAGCACCAACATGCTTCAACCATCATCAACATGTTCATCAATCCAGTCCCATCTCACGGATGAGGGTCCGAATGATCTAATGTCTCTCCTGAATGTCCATCACCTCAGCGCTTCAGTGCGTGGAGCACGGCAGCCGCCAATGCAAGACCACCCAGGTTGCTGAGCAGCACATAGCCAGCCGCAGTGGCGTACCTAGTCGTAACGGAACAGGGAGGTCTTTTTGGCCCCCGACCAGTTCGGCACATCTCCAAAAGGAAAGCTACAATTCTAGGTAGGCCATATTTGTTTCCAATTAGGTAGCCTAAGAATGCCTACCCTGCAATTGAACCCAGAAGTCTTGTGAACCCCTGCCTGATCAATAAGGAGGTTCCCTTTTCGGCTGTGAGGGGCAAACAAAAAAGGTAACATGCTGCCATGACCTAAGTTGGATTGAGCGTGCACAGTCCCATTCTGCTGGCTTGGGCCCTAATCTTGGCACCCTGAATGTTTTGGTCTTCGTTGCTTCCCACCAAGATGGGAAACCCCCGTATCAACCAGGCAGGGGCCATTCATCAACTGGGTTCCCATTAAAATCCCCTGAAGTTGTCTCAAGATAGGGAAGGGTGCCCCCCCCGAATCTCCCGAGCTTCCGCTCGCCTCATCGACCTGCTGGTGCTTTTTGGGCCTTCTTCTTCTTCCCCTCTCCCTGCGAACCCCCAAAACAATTACACCAGCATTGGCCCCAGATAGCAAAATGTGCTGTCATCTCATGAAGTTACCAGAAACCAATGAATCTCACGGCGCCGTTAAAAACCCTTAAGCGCACATGCCTTCCCAAAAATTGGACTGAAGGATTTGCTCCACGCGCCGCTCACTTTGCGGAGCTTTTGGTGGATTTGCTTAACGCGTCGCTTGCAGGTGGCAGCTTCAACGCGTGATGAGCTCGGAAAAAGGCTCGAAGGCACAATCAGTAGCCGCAAGTCGACATGTATGCCCCTGTGTGCTAATCTTACTTGGCGGAGTTTTGGTGGAGTTGCTTCATGCGCTGTGATGAGAGCTCGAATGCGGCCAAGCCAGCGTCTGCTACATTTCTTGCTGCACGTGGCACAGCCACAAGCCGCAACTCGAAATTTATGCCCCTGTGTGCTAAACTCACTCGGCGGAGTGTTGGTGGATTTGCTTATTGTTCAACTCTGAGTCTCGGCCTGCAGCACCCTGCAGCAGCACCCTGCATGACTCTGAGTCTCGGCCTGCAGCAGCACCCTGCAGCACCTCTGCGCAACTCTGAGTCTCGGCCTGCAGCACCCTTGCAACAGCACCCTGCGCAACTCTGAGTCTGGACCTGCAGCAGCACCCTGCAGCACCCTGGGCAACAGCACCTCGCCGGAATTCTGAGTCTCACCCACCCCTCCTTTACTTGAAGTTGGAACCCCTATGGCTTTGAGGTATCTGGAAACCCCCCGGCCCCTCCCCCTCCCCCCATCTTACCCCCTCCCCCCTCCCTCTCCCAATGGAAACCCCTCTCGCTCCCAACTCTTGAGAGCTCGAGCTCCAAGCCCCGGCGCCGGCTTTGGCGCAGGAGCTCCACGGCTTCCAGGGCAAATGTGGAGAATGTGGTGAAGCCTCAGCGATCGCCGAAGCGAAGCGAAGCTCCGCTGGACTTCTCTTTGGTTGTTGTTCTTCTTTTTCTTTTTCTTTTTTTTGCGGAGAAAAAAAGAAGCCGGGGGACTTTTGTTTCTTTCTTTTTCGGAGAAAAAGGAAGAAGCCAGGTGGCGGATGCTCCCGCAAGGTGTTGCTGGATGTTCGGAGGGGTTCCCCCAACCTCCAAAGTCAGAAGGAAAATTGGAAAGGGCGCAACAAAAACTTCGCCAAAAGAAGCGACCCAAAACGGCCCCGGGCCATGTGTGACATGTTCCAATTCTCGCTTCCAGCTCAGACTTCCCGCCTCCGCAGAAGCCGGTGCCCAGCAGGGGCCGCAGATTTGAGGGACAGCGGGAAGTCAACGCCAGCAGGATGCAGCCCAGCCAATTGATGAAGAGCCTCAAACCGCGGCACCGCGGTTTGAAGGAGTCTGACCATTCTGCTCAGAGTTGACTGGCCAAAAGTTTGAAAACCCCTTTATGGGCCTTTGACCAACATGAGGAGAAGCCCCCCCCCAAAAAAAAAAGAGCCAACGTCTTGCCAACTCCCGAGGCAAGTGGTGGGGAACCTACCCGACAAAGAAGGTTGCGGATTCGTGAGTGCCATTTTTCGGCTTGGTACCCCGTGTTGTTGTTTTAATGTTGAGCACGCCTATCTGCGCAAATTCTGGAGACTCGGAAGTTCTTCGGGTCGTCCTGCTGGATTTTGGCCGGTTTTCGGTGGCCAGCCGGTGGGGCTCAAGATCTCTCTCGCGGGCTGGGGCGGAACCATCTGAGCTCCAGGGGACACCCGCAGAAAATCCATCGATGGTCAAGTGGGGGGGCCCACAAGGACCCACAAGGACTTGGCTGCCATTTGCCATTTGCCCCCTGGAAACGAGAGTTTCCAGTGATAGATTCCCTTTAAAACAGGGGAAAATGAAAAAATATTCTTGAGCAAATGGAAGTTGGGTGAGAGTAGATGGCACCACTCTCCCATAGTTTCATTTTCCCCTGACTTACCGACTGGGGAAGTGCGCCCTCTACTCCCCCGGCCCATCGGGAAGTGGCAAAAACCGGTCTGCTTCCCGAGACAGCGCCCATCTTCAGGTCAAAGGGGCGGCTTCAGCAAGTCAAAGGAAGGGGCGTGTCAACCAGATCCCGATGTTTGCCCGCAATCCTCGTGAAACACCTAGAAAAACCCTCGAACATTAAGATTTCCCTTCGGTTTCCCTCTGAAAATAAACCCAACAAAAACACGCCCAATGTGAAGCCACTCCCCTTCGGGTGATTCTTCTCGGGGTCGTCCCTTTTGGTTGATGTCACAAAACAACCAAAAAAGCAAACCAGCCATAGCTATGTTTCGCGAACCTTGACTCGACACAAAGCGAACCAACAAGCGCAAACCCAACGGTCGAAATGTTTTCCTTGGGCTCCCTCGACTCAAAAGGAGGTATGTTGCCCTGGAAAAGCCCGGGGTTTTCCAAAGAAAACCAAAAAGGGCGGGGTACTTTTCGAGTCGGGGGCACTTGTAGCTATGTTTTAGGGTTCCCTGAATTGAGCCGTGAAAGTACGCGAACTTCGACGCCAGGCAACGTGGTCCAAACTGCCCCCCGCGCGGCCAGCTTGGAAATGGTGAACCTTCCGCGGGTAAAGACTCAAATGCTGTCCAATCCGAAGGCAAAGGAAAAGGATTGCTGGTTGTTGCTTGCTGTTGTCTAGATTCTGAGCCCTTTTTCCCCAACTACTGCCTTAGTACCTCTGTATTCGAAGAAAACCAGAGTTGCCAGAGTTCGGGGAGGCGGTTGGAATCCCATTGCATCTCGTTGCAGTAAGGCAGTGCGATCACCGCGATCTCGTGGGACCACTTATCTCAGTTGCGTGGATTGGACAGAAGAAGAACGCCTGAGAGTTCAAGGAGTGAGAGCGTGACTGACGGACCATCACCTGCTTCTCTGTGGTAGCTTCCTGGTGGATGCAACCAGGCATGGACCCCCCGTTTTAGGAGCCCCCCCAAAGGGAGGGAATCTCCAAGAGAAGTTTGGTCCATGTTCATCTGCAGGGGAAGTGGGTTCGTAAGGCCAAACGCAAGTACACCCCTTTTGTCCCGTGGAAGGACACATGTCGGCAGCCCTGTGAAAATTCGTCCTTCAACAGGGATGCCGCCGAAGCAACATGGGTGAAATAGATGGCACGTCACCCATCAAGATTCCAAAATGTGTCCTGTTTCAAGGCAAGTGTGACATCTACACACCACACAGCCCAAGTCCCAACGCAAGCTTCCAAGGTTGAAGGAAATAGACCTTTCGGTGAGACCAAATTGGCGTTCAATCTTCTCCCTTGCCTATCAGAAAGTGCAGTTCAAAGCCCCCTATTTCCCACATGTTAAACCCAATATGGTTGACGTTGGTGTCCCTTCAAACCCAAAGGTTTTGTGCACGAGCCCTTAGACCAGACCCCTTAGCTAAAGCATACTTGCCCCGCCTGCTAGTCATCCCTGGTGTACTGCTTATTTAGAGTTACGCAGAGGAATTGTCCAGGTCTCTGGTGCTGAAACCTTCAAAACACACCCTCTTTCCAACAATCATGGAAGTTGACAGGAGGGATTGGCAAGACGACAGACTGTCTTTGTGAAAAGTGCCCTTGTCCACTTCCATGACTGGAAAGAGGGTATCAAAATCAGAAACTGTCAGGTTTACCCATACGCCCGGTCTGGCAAAAACTTCGAAGCACATTCGAACCAAAAACTCCAAGCCGGCGCCTGCACAGGGCTCCGACGCCGCCCCCCACCTGGGCGGGGTCCAGTCCCTCCAGGACCCCCTTTGCTTCCGGCTGTTAGTCCAAGGCCGTGCGGTTGCTTTTAAAGTGAATCTACCAAATGAATGCTCAATTCAGGGCACCTCCTTATTGATCAACCAGGTATCAGGGGTTTAGAATCTAGAAAAACCCGGGGTGCACGTTGGTTGATTTTATAGCGAACGCCTTCAAAAGAAAGGAAGAAGCAACCCAGTGACCCAGAGGTCCGGGTCCTCTAAGATAAACCCGACCTACTGTTGAGCTGCTACCCGTGGAGTCATGTCAGGCAACGAAAAAGCGCCATGCGCTCACGGTGATTTGCTGCAACGCGTTGCTTCTTCTTCGAAAGCTCACCACCACCCCCCCCAACAAAGAAAGAGAGAGAAATAAAAACAAGGAGTGCAATCTGCAAAAACCTTTGGGGTTGTGCCCCAATTTGGGCCATGTTCCAAGGGAAGCAAAAGGAACACCTTGCCCTGCAAAAGGTGGAGCCGAAGGCTTTCCATGTCACGCCTTGGACCACCTGAACTCACCAGATGGTTGCTGGCATGCCCAAGGGACGGGTCCGACAGTAAAGATCAGCTTCCCTCCAATTGGTGGAGCCCGGTGGTTTGTCCAAGAGATGTTTCAGGAGACCTGACCAACCCCCTGGCCTTCGAACCCCTTCGGGATCAGACCAAAGACTAAAGGCAGACCATTTCCTGCAAAAGATCAGTTCCAAGCAAGTAAACAGACGGCACTTCGCGAGACACGGCGTTTCTTTTTTGTCTTTGCTTTTTTTGTTTGGGGGGGGGGTTGAGGGCGGCGGGGGGGGCAGACGAAGACCACTCCAAGCCGCGCACACCGCCGCTGCCGCCGGCAGCGCCCTTTGTCGTGCCTTCGGCGCCGTTGGCTTCCGCCGGTTCAAAGGAGCGGCCAGAATTCCAGCGACCAGAGCGCAGCCTCAAGGGTGAAACGTGGGCTGTTCCACTTTCAGATCTGCCAAAAGTGAGTCTAACTTGTGGGTTAGATTCGGAAACCCAACGACTGAACCAACCTAAAAGATCTAAGGACCGAAACGCATGGCTGCGAACCCCCAAGAAAGGCTCCTTCACCATTCTACCGGACACAGCAAAAACGCCGAAAGGAACGAGGGCTGAAAGGGAATGGTTAGAGCCTTGCAAAAAGGCCTCATGTTTCTCCCTGCCAAGTCCCTCGACTGGCCCCTTTTGCTCCCATCAGTCTCAATTGCCGGAAGCCCAGCAATAAAAGGTTCACCTTTTGGGACCATGGACCCAAAAATAGACCAAAAAGCCAAAAGGGTCATTTCAGGTCGATTCGCTTTGGGCAAGTGAGTCTTTGGCCTCCCGCTTTACCTTCCATGGACATCTCCCGTTGACAGGAAGAGGGTCTTGGGAACCGCCCTTGGACCACCCCCGCTCCCCACAGATAAAATGGCGCGCGATTTCGTGGGCCTGGCACATTTTGTCGGGCAGGCGCCCGCTGCAGACCCGCAGACGGCAGCGGCCGTGAAGCGTAGGGAGGGGCGAGAGCCGCGGGTGGATGCGAAACGACGGAGACCATGGCAAAGGCTGAAAGCTCCTCTACTTGGCTGCTTGCTTGGTTTGTGTGTTTGGTTGGGTTGGGCTGGATTGGGTTGGTGTGATTGAGCTGGGCTTGATTGGCTGGTCACTTTCCTTTTGGTTGGGTCTAGTGTTAAGTTTCGTCCCCAAGGGACATGTAAGGAAGTCTGGGTGTGAGGACATGAACCATGTCGTGTAATGTGTAGGACGTGCACAACACATGACCAATCGCGAGGAATGTCTCTAAGTAGTCTCCTAAAGATTGGGGGACCCAATCTGCATGCACCCAATCTGGATGTGCCTCGAAGGGAAACCAAAAGGAAGCCAACCTTTTCAGGACACGCCATACTTGCTTCCCAACGTGACCATTCGAGCAGCAGTCGAATGTCAAGTCCACAAACCAGGGTTGGGCGAGACTGCAACTTGTTGAAGCACCTACTGCTTAAACGTCCTGTTGCTTCCCCCTTGAAGTTGGTTCCTCTTTTTGTCGGTGGCCGGGTGATTGCTTAAAAGCCCTTTGCCGGTTGGGAGGGCAAATGAAGGAAAACCAAAAAGGCAAAAGCTTAGGCAGGCTGGTCATCCTAAGGCTCGCCATCCTGAGCACCCCGACATGACGGCCGCCACGCCAAAGGAAACATGGCTCAAATGTCACGAGTGCCAAAGCAGTGATTGCACAACTTACGATATACTTATACCTGTATGTATATATATATATATATACATACATATATATGTATATAATGTGTTTATGTATATCTGTATACATATATATATATAGAGAGAGAGAGAGAGATGCCTACGGATTTTAATAGGGAACCATCTCACAAGTGGTTGATGGACATGTCCCAGCCAAATGATGTCCACCAAAGGGTCCCATTAACAATGAATAACCACATAGTTGCTCCCCTACAGATTGACCCAACCAATTTTGGCGGCCAGGGGTGTGTCCAACAACTCCCTAGTGGCCCATCTTCCGAAGAGCAGGATTCCTGGAGAGAACGGGAGAGTAGTTTTCCGTTTTTTTCCCTTGCTCCAGCTGTGTCCCTTTAAGTCTGCAGCAACCACTTTTCCGCTGAGGAAGCGGGAAGAACTCCCTCAGTCATGGTGTGGCTCCCTCTCAAGCTCTGAGATGCAAACTTATAAACCAAATGACTAAAACGCGGGCAAACCTTTGAACTGTAGCTGCCTCCTGTGTTCCTTTTACATATGTCCAAAACAAAATGTTGTGTTTGACGTTGAAGTCGATCTGCATGGTAATGGTGTGCCAGCAACTGTTTTGCAGCCAGTGCATCATGCATTCAGTATTCTGATCGCAACTTGAACATCATGCACCCCCACTAGAAAGGAGCACGCACAACCCTGGACAGAACTCGGTGGGGATTTGTGTCCACCAACCACTATCAACAGTGCATAGTCATGTTTGGTCCTGAGGACCATTCTTGAGCGCGTTTGCCAATTCCCCGCTACCCAGCGCCAGTCTGTGCCAATCTTGCCAGTGGGAAAAATGGTACTCTTTCTTTGGTAGTTGACTTTATTGGGTAAACCCCAACCAACAAAAAATGGGAAACGTGCTCACCACCGAGTCTGCGTCAGACAACTGATCAACAGGCACATGCACCTACATACCGACGGGCAAAATCCGCCTCGCACCGGTTGGTAAGGGTTCTACCCCGTGCACTGGTGCAAGGTTTTTGTCCATTGGCCGCGCTTGCGAGAGGGGGGGCAGTCGTCCGATGTAAGTCTGAGCAAGTGTTTGTCCATCCGCACATGTCAGTATGCCCTCTGCATTATACCATGGATGGACATGGATGGACATGGACATGAACAAGTGTTTGTCAGTATACCCTCCATTTGCCTCAGGTACGCATCTAATATTTTTTTGTGGTTGGTTTTTTGTCTCTCCCAGCAGGAGTCAGTCACTTTCTAATCAAGCCCGCGCAAGCAACGGAATGGCTAGCCATTTGTGGAGCTTGAAAGAACAGCTAAATGGACCGTTTGCATGGGGCCCCTGGCTTCTCATGGCTCTGGCATTCTTCTCACTTGAAAAAACACCAAAAATTGAGTCGCCATCACCTTAGGCCTGTCGAATTGCCGAATCCTCAAATATCAATCGCCAAGCTGGGGGGGGGCACTCAAACGGACTGGCCAGCCATGTGGAAGACTTCTAGGAGTCAGTTGGGGTTTAGCTCAACTCGAATGGATAGAAGGGTGCCATCTCATCGCCAGGAGGTGGCGTTGCTTTCCCCCCAAAAAAAAAACAGCCCCGGTTTCACCCTCAACCCCACACCCGCTTCATCTGCCTGCAGGTGCTGCACCCAGCGGAAGAAGGCCAAAGAACTCACGGGCTCTCCTGGCCGTTCGGAGACGGTAACCCCAACATGGCTTGCCCTGGCAAGTGGAACCATGGACTAAGACCTGCTGTCCATATCCTGGTGGTTTAATTTTGACCCATACCCAAGTGTCAGCCCCCCACCTCCCCCGTCCCGCACCCGGCCCCTCACCTTCGCAGCGAGCACGTGAGCCACATTGGTCCAGGTCCAGCAGCAGAGGGTTCAGCAAGCGACACCTGAGGTTACGGCAGCCTGGTTCTCATAAGAAAAAGACAAAAACAACAACGACGAGTTTTTGTGGATATGCGGGCGTGTGTTTTTGAGGAACCCCTCTTTTGTGGCGCTAAATGAAAACCGGTAAAAAAACCACGGTCCCCTAAACAAAGACCCACCCGTGTGTTAAAATAGGGATTCGGACCTTCCCTGTTGGTTTCAGTTCAAACAAAGCCAAAAAGGGTACCCTCTGTCCACTGATCTCACAAATGTCAAATCTCGCACATGCGTTCCGCTCACATGATTGTCCATTGCCAGCGATCGGAACTCGTTCACAGCCCCAACGGGTCCCCTGACTTGTTAACTACTGGGGCAACTTGTCGGATTCAAGGAAATGGGCATGTCATTTTTGGGAACAAAACAAAAGGTGGCTTTCAACCATGGTTTTCCTTCCAAACCACAAACTGGTATCCTCAGGTTCATATAACATTTCCACCAACCCCTTCTACGGGCCCAAAAAGAGGGCCAAAGAGGACGAAAGCCATGAAAAGGGCTTCCCTCGAAGGAGCTGGAATCCGAAACTTTGCCGGAACACAAGATCTTGGACGTGAGGTACTTGTGGTTGCGAAGGCACCGGCAATTTGGTGCACCGCAGGACAGAAACCGAGAAACCACAAAAACGGCCAAAGGCCGCCGCAGGCTGGGACTTCGGGACCATCCGCCAATAAAGCCAAGAGCGAGGCTATGCAAAAAACCACAAAAAAGGTGACCAAAAAACAAAAAGGTTACCAAAAAGGTTACCAAAAAGGTTACAAAAAAAGGTTACCAAAAAGGTTACAAAAAAAGGTTACCAAAAAGGTTACAAAAAAAGGTTACCAAAAAAGGTTACAAAAAAAGGTTACCAAAAAAGCAACAAAAAACGACCAGCCCCTCTTGGCAGCTTTTTTTTCTCCGGGCCTTTGGAAGCCGCAGCTCAGCTCAGCGTACCTACGTCCCAAGACGGGATCGAGATCTGGGTGGCCTCCCTTGGACGGCGGTGTACCCCGGAAAACGCGGAGACGGTTTCCTTTGGGTTTCCCCGGTTTTCACCATCCAGGCCGCCTCAGGGTGCTTGAAGCGAAAGAAAGGGTCAACTTGCAATTGCCGCATGAACAGTGTTCAATTGCGACGGCGGGCAAATCTAGGTGCGCCCCCTGCCACTTTGGCCCATGCTCCTGCTGAGGGAATTCGACCTGTCCTTGTTGCAAACTGCCATGGTTCTTTCAAGGGTGTTATGCTTACGTAGATATCTATACACATACGTATGACAATATACCATAGGAAGTGTAACTCTATGTGTATGTATATATATATATATACTGTTACATATATAGAAATAAACCTGGATATGTCTGGCAGACAAACATTTACGCGCCTTACCTGTCTTCAAGAGTGAAACATCGGGCACGAGTACGGTGGCACGCGGACGGGGCACGCGCACGGGGCACGCGCACGGGGCACGCGCACGCCGCACGCGCGCACGCCCGCACGCACGAGCGCACACACGCACACACACGCACAGACACACAGACACGCACACACGCACACACACACAAACACACTCACACACAGCAAGCAATCCTTCTTTCACGGGCGGTCCCATTTGGAGGTCGCGTTGGGTTTGCAACATGGGCATGTGCCAAAATAGAGGGACGCCAGGTGTTCTTGTTTTCCGCCAAAACCGTCCGCGGCGCCCTCAGCAAAAGACACCCCGCATTGAATGAATCTGGTGATGTTTCACACGCTTTCACACATGGGTTCCCAGCAGCAACGGTTTAACCACGCCACCCGGCTGCACCTTGCGTCAAACATGTATGTAAACATACGCTGGCCACACAAAAGTTGAGCTTCTGGAAGTCAAACGCAATTACAGCCGTTTCACTTTCACGATGAGACCTACGATGGTATGCACTGTCAATCTTCGACGCCGGAACTTTTGTTAGGACTATCATACACAAAGTATTGTGATAATTGACCGTCCCGCCCTGCCGGACGGATCGTACTTGCTAATTCGGCAACATTGAACCATTGAACACTACATTGAACATTGCCGGAAATGCGCACCATCACATAGTCCATTTGTTGAACCGCTGCTGGCTTTTACACGGTTTTGGCAGTGTTCAGCGTAGAGTTCATTCAATGTAGTGTTCAATGTGCTGTTCAATCAATGTTCGATGTCGTGTTCAATGTAGCGATCAACGCATCGCTACATGCAGTGTTCAGCCGCTATCTGCTGGAGCTTCTGTTGGTTTGGCGAATTGCGCTGCTTGCCTCAGTCATGTTTGATCGCGACGCATGCCTATGAACCGAAAAGGACAAAACTGCTTGCTGACAGAGCAATCATAATTATCTTTGCGCGCAAGGCGTTTGTGCTGAGCATGGCAGTCAGCGCCACACTCACTGCTACAATGTGCACTTATTGAACACTACATTGAGCACTCATTGAACACTGCCGAAATCGCGATAAAAGTCCGCCATTTGAAGCTCTGCACTTGCTGGTTCAATCATTTAGTCGGTTTGTAGAAAACTCCAGCTTGCACGCGGCTTTGGCAGTGTTCAATGTAGTGGTCAATGTGCTGTTCAGTGAGTGTCGATGTAGTGTTCCATGCAGTGTTCAACGCATCGCTGAATGCAGCATTCAGCTGCTATCTACTGGAGCCCCTGTTGAATTGGCAAGGTGCACTACTTTCCTGAGTCATGTGGAGTTGACCGCTGGCCATCGCATCGCGACGCATGCCAACAAACCGAAACAAAACGGCTTGATGACAGAGCTCTACCGACTAATCAGTACTGTTGACAGACAAAATCTTGCACCGCTTGCGCGACGGTTTACAAAATTCTCGCGCTCTCCATTTGACTTTGGAAGTTTAAGGGCCCTTGGTTGCAAACATGTTGGAATGACCGCAATCCTGCACCACCTTTTGTGAACGCCAGCAACATTGAAAAGGGGAGCGGGGTGCACGGCCTTTCAGGAGAGGCGGTGGAGCATTTCGCATGTCCAAACCCAGCGGGTCCTAGTGACCTTTCTTGCGGGCCGGCCATGTTTGTTCGAGGGCGAACTTGTGGTTCTCTGAAATCCTTGACTTGCGTGTCACAGTGTACAGGGCAATGGACTGGGTATATCTCAGAGACCCTTCCTTCAAAAGCCCACCTGGGCTCAGATCTCTTGCACAATGTGCGCATCCGCTTTCGGAGCCCGTGATCGAGCCCGGGAAGCGGGTCAACATACGGATTCGTGTGTTTGGTGCCAAAATGCTTGGCTTGGTTTGCAGGGACCAAAAGGAAAACCAAATACGTTCGGAGGAGCTGCCTTTCTTTTTTTGGGGGGAACACCCCCTTTTGAGGTTCGTTTTTCTAAGGTGAAACCAACTGGGGAAAAAGCCCGCGTGTTTTTGGGGGGGCACCGCCAAAAACAAGACACAGCCAAATTTTGGAACTTTGTCGGCCATCTGAGGCGCCGGGCTGTTGGTGCACCGCTTCTAGCGCCTCCTTCACCCGGCCGCTGCCCCACTCCCCCTCCGTCCTCCGACGGCAAGCTCACTGCAGCCGAAAGAAGAATGGGATGTCTTTGGTTTGCCTCCAAAACAACACGACAAAGGGTGCCCTTCCAACTTTTTGAGGCAAAAGGGTACCCTTCTCAGGCTGGTTTCCAAGGAAACAAAAGGAAAACGGATTTCTTTGGAACCCATGGACCTTGTCTTCAATGGGAAGCGGTGCGTTTTTGTTTTTTCCCCCCGAAGACAAGTCCGTGAACTTGTCCACGCCTTTGTGGGGAAGCAACTCATTCCATACAAGTGTACTTTTCGAGGGCACCGTTGTCCGGTTGCTTCGGCAGACATCTCAAGTGAACCAAACGTTTTCGCCCATGGGATCTGGACAAAAGCCCGGACGCTTTGCGGAAAAAAATCCACCCGGCAGGCGCATAGCAACGTGCAGATGTTCAGCGGTTGATGGTTCTCTTTTTGGCTGCCCCTTTAAAAACCCAAACGATGTCACCCCATTTCAAGGTTCCGTTTCTCACTTGGAGTTTGGACCGTTCGGTTTTATGGTAAGATGGTCTATTTTTTAGAGTTCCATGCAACGGCAGCCAAGAAGCGCGGCTCGAAATCTGGGGTACACAAAAGAATAAGTGTTCTTCGGATTCTGGTCCGAATTGGCTCCATGTTGTTTGTCTGCCGAAGGGTCAACTGGGTCATGGAAAGCATCAAGATGACCAAAGACTATGGGGTACTCCGAACCCAATCAAACAAGGTGTCTGAGCAAGTCAAAACTTATCCATCCTGTTAAAAACTTTAGAGGATATCAAACATACTGGGTTATTTGGCACTTGACCATCTTCCTGGGCCAGTTTTGGAGGAGACCCCAGTTGCAGTGAAGCGGGAGCTGTCTGGCAAGGCATTCCCCTTCATAAGAAGACTGCGTTCCCGGCTGATGGTGTTGTGTTAAACATGTTGTGTGTTGGACCATGGTCAAACTATGCCGACAATGGACATGAAAACATGTGAGTTCCGCTGGCTGTGGCTGAAAGTTCCGCTAAGTCATGGGGTTCCTCCCAAATCGCATCATATGCCGAGACATAAACCATCACGGGCGCGTTCGCATTGGCCCGCCATCCGACTCGCATCAAGTCCTGTACTTCACACAGCCCTCAAAGACCCAATGACTCGCTGCCACCTGAGAGCATTCATCCAAAGCAGAAACATTTCACGGGCATTGGGATTTGTTCCTTGATTCGTTTTGATTTAGGCCCAAGAGTTGGCATGCATTGCATCGCTTGTTTCTGGAGCAAGACCTGGACTTTTATTAGCATCAGGAGAACTGCGTGAGGCCCTTGCCAGATGGCACTGAATGGATGTCAATGCCAGAAACAATCGGGGCATTCTGCACTAGTTACGTCCGCAAACCCTTCCAAACTGCAACGGTCTAACCGGCACACCCGGGAGACTGCACAAACACCGACAAAGAAAGAGAAAAGGAATCAGATTGAGGGAGGCAAGAATTATTTTCCATGGCACAAGTCGGTGCTCAGTTGAGTCGACGCTGAAGCTACGTTGGATGCCCTATAACGAGCAGGGGAACAGGTTGGATCCCCCATCTGCCAACATTTCCAGTAGATTGTGTGGCAAAACGGTGGAGCACAGCAGCACACTATTCAGTGAATCACAAGTGGCGTCTGGAAACGCCAAGTGGAATATCAATCCTTCCTGCGGTATTGTGTCAGCAACATTGCAAGAGCATGGGCAGTTGCATTTGTGGATTTCACGAACACGAATTCCGGAATTATACAGGGCAATCACCTAAAATGAGCTTGTTCGAGCATCATCTTCAGCGTCCCCAGCATCAGCTCAGCAGCTCCAGCATCCATCCGCGGCCATGGCAATATCCCAGCATCTCTGGCAGCGCCAGCATCCGTTCCAAAATCTCAGCATCTGAGCATATGCAGTACAAGCTCCTGGTGGATTTGAAAATCCCCCAAAACCACATTCTACTGTGATGGGTAAGGTCCTGAAAAAAACAAAAAAAAACAAAAAAACAGCCCCTTCCCACCTGGGGCCAAGACGACATAGTGGAAGATAAACATGCCGGCAGCAGCCAACAGAAGCGCCTCAAGGACGCACCCCAAAGAAACACCCATCTAGATGGAGTGACACACGGGTACCCCCTTTTGGTTGATAGTTCTACGCAATGTTAAGAAAGCATTCATTTGAGAAACCCGCGCCCGCAGGGTTCTGTTGAGACTTGCTATGGGGCAGGGGAGTTTTGAGATGGATGGTCCACTGGCATTTCTGGGATCAAAGGTAGAGCGCGGATCTGGATGATCCACGCACGCAGGTGAGCCAATTCTGTGCGTGGCACAGAAGGGCATCGGGGGTGCCATACTTTTGGTTGCGGCGCCGGTCCCCAGGAATGCCGTCTCACCAGAGAAACAAGAACGACCATAGCACGGGTCCACACGACAAACGGGCATTTGTTGCCCACTCAAACACAACCCCAAAACGGCGAGACACACACAAAGAGGACACACATGTACAGATATACAACAAGGCTAGTCGAATCACACAATATGCCGTTGGATGGTCTTCAAAGGAAACCAAAAGGACCCCCCCCTCTTCTTCCTGGGTCTAAAGAACCAAGTCACCCACCGAACCCAACTCACCCGCGTCTAAACAATTTACAGCAGTATCCACTGGGCTGCAGATCCCCTGTGTTGTAGCGGAAACTACCAGAAAACCCTGCACAGCTAAAAGCCTCAGGGGATGCCTGGGAACCACCAAGCCTACTGGTTATGACAAAGACTTGCTGGTGATCAGGGAACAACCGCTTGGGATGTCCTAGGAACCAGGTTCATTTGATTTGGGTCTGACTTTTTGAAGGTATCATTTTTGGGAAGATGTTTAAGGGAGCCAATGGGAAAACCACCCAATAGGAAAACCAGGGGACACGCTCACTCAGATTTGTTTAAAGGTGAATCAGCTTCCCTCCAATTGGTGGTTCGGATTGGCGGTTTGGTGGTTAAGGGCTAGTTTGCCCATTTGCCGACAAGCACCAGTTGTTCAAATCCAAATCCAAACACATCCAAACCACCACCCAAAAACTACCTGATTATTCCCCATCGAACCAGCTTCGGGCCGAAGAAATTTCCGCTTCGGCACTACCAGGAAGGTGAAGACCGCGAGCTGCGCCTGCGGAACGGTTCGCGTTTTTGTCAACTGAGGTCCCAGAAAGGGTCACAGAGGGCTGAAAAGGGCTGAAAGTTTTGAGAACAATGCACACCCTTTGAACAATTGGAAGAACATCAGAAATCAGGACGGGCTATGGCACAGGCAGCCATCTCGATGAAGCATGGGAATTCACCAAACTGAAAACAGGGAAAGCTGTTGTTTAAGCATAGGTCGCAAAAACACCTGATAGGCGACTCATTCGTGTTGCCGAAAAAAACAACAACACATCCTTTGGCTTGAGTTCACTGCAGCCAACTCACTTGAGTGGATTGGCCGAACAAGTAACCATTTGTTGATTCGCCCCTAAAATGGCTGTGGTCAGAAATAAGTACCCAAAATGGAACCCTGGTAAATGGAACCAAGGAGTAAACCCTGTGGTCCCCTGGTGCTTAATTTTTGGCCCAAACCCAAACGGTCCAAACCAAAGTGAAGAAAGTCAGCCCATGAAACAGCCGCTGGTCCGCTGCCGCCTCCAGCAGCTTTGAAGGGCTGCCCCTTGACCTGAGTTCTCAACGCCAATTGAGCCACCATTGGTGGGATGGTGTTTGAAGGGTCATCTCAGAGGAGCAAGGGAACAAAGGAACAAAGGAAGGAACAAGAAAGCCGACCACGGGAACAAGCAAACCATGAAAGCAGACTAACAGCTAACACCCACGCAAACAAGCAATCAAACAATCAAGCCCACCACTGGACCCAAACCAAGCCAATGCGAACCTATCTTTCTCCATGCGATCCGCCAAACCCGGGTCAAAATCCCAATCCCGCGCCCCAGTCAAGCCAAGACATACATTGATTTGCAAAAGAAGGAGGACTCGGATAATGTGCCGTCGACATGCACAAAGATAGTTGTCCTTCACAACTCTCCGTTCCAGATTTAAAAGTCGGCACAAGATGAAATCTTCTGGGTTCGCGTCAAAATCGGGACACCAGGCACCCTTCAAAATTAACAAACACACACACACACACACACACACACAGACACACACAGATACACACAGACACAGACACAGACACAGACACAGACAGAGACACAGACACAGACACAGACACAGACACAGACAGAGACACAGACACAGACACAGACACAGACACAGACACAGAAACACACACACACACACACACACACTTCTTGTACTGGGTCGGCCAGACCTATGTTTGACCCTTTAACCTCCCTTACTTGCCCATTGGCCGCGGCCATGGAAGAAAAAACTGGACAACTGTTTTCTTGACTAAAGTGGAAAACCAGGATCAGTCATCCTATTTCCGAAATGCGAAGATCCAAGGCAGAAATGGCGTAACTGCAATGGGCGAAGGCTGCAAGCAGCACATCCGAGCTTTTACCAAAACTTCTTCAGTTTCAAAGGTTTGGGGAGTACCCCATTTTTTTGGGGGGGGAAACCAAAAGCATAATGTTGCGATTTTACGGGTGCCGATGCCCTTGGAATGGTAGCTCCAGCTGTGTTTTTGCAGCCCTCTAAAATTGCACAGAACCCCAAAAAACAAAACACACAAAAACCTGGTCCAACAAGGGTGAAGCAAAAACAGCCACAGTGGCGTTTTCCCCCGTTTCCCGTTGTCAGACCGCCCGACACTGGGGGGGAGGGGCGCTTGAAGCGCTCTTCGGCTGGGCTGCCCGGCGCGGCACAGCCGGCGGTGCCCAGCAGCAGGGCCAGCAGCCCGGGGGCCAGAAGGAACCTCCCGGAGCTCTCTCTCTGCCGGTGTTTTGTTCTGCCCACGCGGGTCTGCGGCGTGAAAGGTCACGCTTTGAGTGGGCGAAATGGAAAACCCCAAAGGCGGGAAAGGTCCAAACGGATCTGCGGCGGGAAAGGTCCAAACGCTTTGAGTGGGCGCAAGGGACAACCACAAACCTAACAAAGCCTGACTCCTGGGTGAAAGGCGGGAAAACCCCACTGAAACCAAGTAAAAACCTGCAAGCAAAGAGGGGATGGGGTCTATACGCGCCCTCAAAGTAACAGCCGGAAGCTCCCCCTTTGTAAATGGAACCCAAGTCTTCCAAACGGTCCTGGGAGCTTCCGTGTTCGCTTTGGGAAGGCCACCCATCGTGTCAGTGGCTGAAGCCAATATTGTTTAAACCCGCTTTTGTGTGTCTCACAGTTTAAAGGACCTCCTTTTGGCCACCAGGTTCTGTCTTTAGGGAACGGATCTAAGTAGAACCGAGGTGTCACCCACAACAGTGGGAAGACGCCCCACTCAAATCTACAGGGAAGCCAAAGAAAGCAAAGGTGGCCCTTTGGAGCTAAACCCAATTGACGGGGCCGAGGCGCCAATTTCTGGGGTGTTCCAAATGGGGGACCCAGATGTATCCACAATCCGTAGTGGGACCCATCTGACACAGGATTTTTCGCAGATTGCGTTCGAACAACCCAATGAAGTAATTAAGAAACACATACAATTCCCAGTAAAGTGCTGAGTCTTGCTGCTTATCTGACTTGTGATATGGATGTTCTGGCGTGCAAAAGACTCCAGCACTCCATGACTTGCTGTGGGCGTCGTTCTGCATGTGAGTGAGTTCAGCTGGGCGCTGCTCGTTTCTTGAAAGCCACTCCCAATCCAAGAATGCTCTTTGGGATCCCACCGCTTGAGCCGAGTGCAAGAATGGTACAGGCAACCAATCATGTATGTTCCCCTTCTTTCAGTACCAAGTACGTGACAAATCTGATATCTGGTTCTCCCCCAGTGGAGTTGAGGCATGTTTGGGCCACCAACAACTGACGTGGTTCAATGTCAGGGACCCGCGGCGTGTAAGGCAACACGAGCTATCTTTCGGTCGAAACCCGGGTCCCGCCAGCCCAGCTCCGGCACGAAGAGGGCCGTGACCTGCGGGTGTGCGGTCCGGCAAAATGGCTTCGGGTGTCCTTTTGGTTTCCCGGGTAGCCTCAACGAAAGTCCAGGAAACGGATTGCATGCGTTTTTGGTGGATCCACCCCTGTAGGATATTAAAAGAGCAAGAGAGTACGAAAAAAGGACCTACAGGAAAAAGAACAAAAAGCGCGTGCAAACCATGTTCCAGAGAAAGACGTATACCCCGTGTCTCAGTTTCCGATGCGCACACTTGCCAAGCCGCCGGCGAAGAAGGGGAGTGACAAAAAAACGCAGGGACCGTGGGCTCCCATCTGGCTCTGTGATTAAGCTTCCTATATGAGAGTCTTTCCTTAGTGGACCCTGCAACATGATGTTTATTCCTCGTTTCCTTGCAAAACCAATGCAAACAAAGCACCGACTCAAAACAAGCCATATGCAAGCAGGCATCCCCAGCAACCCGAACTGTCCGGAACTAAAAGACCATGAAAGCCTGGAACAAAACGGTTCCCTTGAGACAACCGAGGTCTGATGATACTCTCCGCATCGATTTCCAATAGTGAGGCTCTTACTTTGCATCCAGGTAAAGGGATTGGGCGAGGCTCGAGTGAGACATTGCATTAAGAGACGCACATTGGCTCGAGCTCGGTGATCACCACAATTGGCAACCCTTTGCTTAAACGTGGTCCGACAACTAGTCTTTAAACAAAGTATGTCTGGTTCCCTTCCAAGAAGGGCCATGATTTGAATGCAAACAAACTTCTTTCGAGGCGGGTCTGGCTTGTCATCCAATTTTTTGACCCACCCCGGGAATGCCAAAGGAAGCTGCTTAGGCCAAGTCGGGGGCTTGATTTCCAACTCTTGCCAGCCCCAGGGAAGGAAGAAAGAAAGCCGGACACGTTCAAAGTCGCTGGGAGTTTGCGGATCTGCTGACAGTCAGTCGGTTCCGAAAGGGCAAATCTAAAGATCCAGAAGCAAACATGGGTGTGATGCATGGGTCTGTCTTGCTTGTGAGGGTACCCTCTGTTGAAACGAGAGGGAAACCAGCATTGTTGGTGGGTCCCCTCAGAATGACGAGCCCTAAAAATGGCGAGCCACCCATGAGCGTGTTTCCGTGCTTTTTTGCCCGAGGGTGCCTTTTGCGGAAACGTTCAACAGGGCGGGGGGGTCGTAAATGGAGGCCAAGAGGAAATTCAACTCGTTTCAAAGAAAGCCATATGGGGTTGATCAAAAGGTCCTTTCCATGGGATGACCATTGAGAAAAACCACTAAAATCATGATATGTCCCATTAAATGGGAAAGGACACGTGACAAGTTCATTTAGGCGCCAGGAATCTTGATCAACCCCGTCGCTGGAGTTCCCTTCAAATGAAACTGTAATTGTTGAAGGTCGCAAAAAAGCGGAACATGGAGGCATCGGCAAACATGCCGAACTGGACACTGTGAAGCAATCAATCCCCACACTATAGTTAAGAATAAACTTGCTTGTCTACGTCCGCCGACATTGCTCGGCGTGTCGGATACTTACTAGAGGATAGAGGATAACCCCCCCCCCCTTCCCCCCCCCCCCCCGCCCGCCCGACATCAAATACGTAGGTTTTTTTTGGGGGGGGAGGGGAAAAAATAGAAGAAGTAGGGGGCCTGGGGGGAAGTCTGTTGAGGGTTGCCTGTTATGGTTTTTATGTTCATCTCAAATCTATGTTCCCCCTTATTCGTTTTGAAAAGAGGGTTTTTAGGGAGCTTATTTATCGTTTTCGTTAAGGTAATCATTTGGGTAATTGCCCCCCTTGTTCATTGTTGGGCTGGGGGCAAACATTTTTTTCATTTGAAAGAGTTGACCCTTTTAGTAGTTATCAAGTTCTGGGGTGTTGCTGGGTCGTTTGTTTTCTTTGACGTTTATCTCTACAATTATTTATTTTCGTTCTACACTCTTGACAATATTTATATCTTTTTCCACTTTTTACATTTCCAAATTCATCAATTGTTTTATCATAAAGACATCTGTTGCATTTGAAGAATTCACCATAGTCTTCTGTTGCTTTTTCTTCTGTCATTCCATAATTATTCATTATAGTTTGCTTCACAACCATTTCTTAATATATCTTAACAACTTCTTTTTATGTGATTTTTATGTGATTGTCTAGTTATGTTTTATAGGTTGAAATTACAGTATAATGAAAGGTTATAAAAGTTTACACTGTTTAATCATATTATAATTAAATATTATGATTAAGCCATGAAATCATTGTTTCTGTTTTCTATAAATTTCAATTGCAACATGTTCGATAGTAATGATTTCGTGTCGTTTCATAGTCTGTTTGGTTTCTTCAACTGCTTGTTCAATATGGTATTGTAATGACGCTCTACTTGAAATCTTATTCTGTTTAGATGATGAATAAGAACGACTGTTGCAAATATTATTATTATACATAATTTTTGAACTAACTACTATTCCAACCTGTATTTCTTCATCATACTTCATCATTCTTAATAATTCTTTTGGTGGTTTCAACGCATATGAAAGCGCTTTATCACCTTTTAAGCATTTATTGCGAATCTCAACATAATATCTACTTTCTCCTACTCGTTCAGTGTAAATAGACGGTTTCCATTTCCTTTGTAATTCTCTTAAAGCATCACATTGTTTCAGTCTTCGCCACCCTTCACTACCATTAATGTAAGTAGTGATGATTGAAACTAAGCCTTCAGGTAAGCTAGCGCAATTCTCATCCATAAAATTATTCTCTGACATTTTACCCTTACTCATTTTTCTCTTAATATATAAGGCTTTTTCTCTTTAAGTAGTTTTGGCTAGGGGTTGCTGGTCGGCTGGTCTGGGTTTCAGGTTTAATTTAAATGTCTTAACCTCATTGTTAGATTATAAAAACTAGGTTTAATCATATTATAATTGAATAATATCATTAAACTAAATCACTCACGCTTTCCATCCACCTATTCCATCCCACCAGAATTCAATAATTCGCATCTGTCCATCTACTAGACTGTCTTCTGTGTTTAGTTTCCGTATCGCTCCCGATAAGATATAGTGGTTAATAATCATAGCATTAAACTGCCCATCTCGGTTTAACTTTTTACCACAGTCTTTTATGATGTTTTCATCTGTTAGGTTTTCATACATTTCTTTCATGATGTCAAACCTAACAAATGAGTATATTGTCATCAAGTTTAATCCGCTATTATCCCTAAACCTGTTAATAACATCTTTCCAGAATTCTTCGTTTTCATCAACTGATGGCAAAGGGTGTCTTTTGACGAAATCCTTTATTTTGTTTAACTCGTCATCTAATTCCTTTTTATAACTGTCATTATCATCATCTTCTTCGTCTGATAGCACCCAGTTTGATAAGTCAGCAATCACTCCGACATTTTCAGTCATATTTTCACTTAATATAATAAGTTAATATTTCTTTAAGTAGTTTTTTATTTTATGTTAAGGGGCGGGGTTTTTATTGAAAAAATATTTTCTAACAATTTAATATAATGGCGAGATTAACAAAAGACCAAATAATCAGCAACATCTATTACGACTTAGACGAGGGTTTCGGAAGCACACAAGCGACACACAAGAAGGCAAAGGAAGAAGACCCAACAATAACATTAGACGATGTAAAGTCTTTCTTAAAGAAACAGCCAAATAAACAAATCAAAAATTATAGAGGAACTAATTCCTATACCGCTCCATTCGCACGATATGAATATCAAATAGACATAATGCATATGTCTCCTTTAGCAAAAGACAAGAACGTTCCACAGTATGCTTTAGTCGTGATTGACATCTTCAGTAAATTAGCAGATGTAATACCGATGGAGGAAAGAGACGGAGAGAACGTTTTGAAGGCGTTGAGAGCAAGCTTTAAAAAGATGGGTTATCCGATGTCCGTGTATTCTGATGACGACGGAGCGTTTGCAACTAAAAATCACGTTCAGGATTTCTTCAACAGTGAAGGAATAAACCACATCGTTACGAAGACCCACGCAAATGTGGCCGAGCGTTTTATTAGAACGATGAAAAACAAAATTCACGATAGAGTTAGGTTTAACAACATGAAATGGACCGACGCCCTAACGCCGGCATTGAAACAGTATAACAGCACATCTCACTCATCAACAAGGATGACACCGTCTGAAGCACACAAGGACGAGAATGAAATAAATGTAAAGGTCAATCTTAAACTACGAGAAAAAAACAAAAGAAAGTATCCCAGAATAGTGGAGAACGACAAGGTAAAAGTGTTTCAAAAGAAAAGGGGTAATTACACCGACAGAAAGGAGTATAACTCTAAATGGTCTAATAAAATATTCAATATCGATAAAATTGAATATGATATTATGGGTAATAAAACTTACAAAGTAGCAGAAATAAACAAACCGCTTTTGAGACACGAAATTTTGTTAGTTAATGATTAAACGTATTTCTTGGTGTCTTCTTTATACTTGACTTGATAGTAATCCAGACTTGATTGTTTAGGTTCTTTTATGATTTTTTCATTCAGTTTTTTAACATAAATGTTTCGTTTATTTTTGTATTCGCTACTGTCTCTATCTACTTCTTTTGCTTGATAATTGTTATTGTTATCATATGTAGGTTTAATATTCAAGCTCTTTAAGATTTTCAGTATGTTTTCATTTTGCTCCAACACTTTTTCTAATCTTGGAAACAACAACTCTAAACTACTGTCAATGTTCGCTAAATGTTCCTCCATATATACTAAATTATAAAACTAAACTTTTAAAACTAAATGTTGCAATTATGTTAAATCTACTCTTTAAATACTATTTTTTCATCATTTGTTTAACAGTTTCCTGAGTTTCCTTATCGCCACTATCGGATGGTGATGCTTGCCGACCCCATTTAAAAGTTATATTATGAACATCTGTTTCTAAGTTTATACTGTCTTTAGTTTTATCAATATTCATTTTCTTATCATTCTTACTTATTTTGAAACTTGTTGGAATACACGAACATTTACAATGTCCTTTCTTTTGTATTTCTAATT